TCACAGACCCACACGGCGAACGCCGTCTGCTTTACGCTAGTGAGCGCGGACACCTGGCACAGGAGGCTTGGACATCTCAATGCTCGGAGCCTGGACATCCTTCGGAAGGACACGGGTACCGGGGTGGACTAAAGCCGACAGTCTCTCCCCTTGCGGGGTCTGCCAGATCGCGAAACACAAGCAGTCCCCCCACCCGAAGCAATCGACTCGCGAACTATCACGGCCTGGACAGCTTGTGGTCATCGACAACATGGGGCCTGTTAATCCACCTGCGAAAAATAAAGGAGGCTTCTTCCCGTACGAGTGCAAGATCACCGACGACTACACGAAGATGAAAGAAGTGTACCTGCTTCGCAAGAAATCTGACACGACCGAGGCGGTGCACACGTACAACATGTGCGTCGCAGCGGCAGGAGGCTACCTGATCGAGACCATCCGCTGCGACAAGGGAGGCGAGAAGACCGGATCCGAATTTCGGGACTACTGCAAGAATTCAGCTATCAAGCTCGAATACGCCGCCACCAACACCCCGCAACAAAGTGCTGTATTGGAACGGGACGGCCAATCCCTGGCCGGAGTCACCCGGTGTCTTCTGAAGGATGGAGTTTTTCCGCCGTCCATGTGGGGGGAGTTAATGCTGACTGCAGCATACCTGTTGAACAGGTCCCCACACTCAGCACTGGGAGGAGCTACGCCATACTCGAAGTTGCACAAAAAGTCACCTGATCTCTCGGGACTTCGGGTCATTGGAGCGCGCACCTTCGTACACCACGACAGATACCGGAAGAAGCTGGACGACAGAGCTTTCGAAGGCAAGCTATGTGGTTTCGGCCTCGACAGCCAGACCTACCGGGTATTGAATCCATCCAACGGGGCNATCAGGGCTTTCGAATGAACCCACTTTTAGCTTTCACAAACACCTTGGTGACGAGTTATGCCGAATATAAACAGGGTTTTCTCCTGATTGAGAGCGGAGTATACGATTGAGAGCGGGAGCCAAAAAAAATAAAATTTCGGGTCCAGACGCCTCTTGCCATTTCTTGGGAAGTAGGGGGCGGGCTCTTCCAAGAAGCGGCGCAAATTGAAGGTCTCATCAGCAGCGTCACGAGCATATGCGTGTCATCGCGATCGGATGCTGCAGCTAGGAGCTAGACAAGTTGCTAGATTTGCCCAGATTGGCTATTTCTGCNCCTCTCAGCGGTAGTCCAGCTACAGCGCATCGCGCAATCTCGCTCTTAATCAGAAACTTCGCTCTCAATCACACGAAAACCTTGTTTATACCGTTTCACCAAAAACGCGGCGGAACCGGTAAATTACGATTTGTCGTGCCCCCA